CAAAGTAATCTGAAAATAGAGCTCAGGTTTATTCTGAGTAATTCATGGCAGGTTTTTTAGTTGCCTTAGTAAAATATCACAACAAAACAAGTCATGTCTGGTTAATATACATCTCATGTATTTCTATGAATGAACACATACAGGTACTTATTTGTAAGTTAAATAAGGTGACTGCTTTTATTTGGATGTTTGGTGTAACTGAAGGTGCTCTTGGAACTGTGAGTCCCATCCACAGTTTCGAGCCCCCTCATTATGATGGCACTGAAATGCTAACCATACAAGGGCATAACCCAGTAAGTGGGTCCAGAGACAATGGAATCAAGAAATGGGATCTGGCTCAAAAAGACCTTCTAATGCATGGGATAGATTGGTTGCTTCAAAGTCACCAGTACTCTCTATAGGAACTTGAAGAGCCTCTAAGTAGAATTTTATCATTTAAATAAAATCAGTCTCAGAGTAAAGCAGTTACAGTTTCTCATTTTGTTCTGTTTTTGCTTTAGGTATGCACATTCCAAAGAATTATAAGTGTAGCTGAAGTCATAGCAGTGTAAATGGTGCCTCCTCTGCAGAGCATGTTCATACCTCCATGAGTGCTGGATCTCTCACTTCCTGTAGAATGATGATTGGGTTGAAGTGTTTTGTCAGTACAAATACTGGTGGCTTTCCCTAATTCCCAGAGGAAGAAATTAATTTACAGATGAACTTGTTCTCAGGTTCCAGCGTTCCCTTCTATCCATGTGGGTGCGTTTGTGCTGCTGTTGCTGTCACTTTCCTGCTGACAACCAGATGAAAAGCAAATAAACAAGAAGCATGAATGTTGATAGACAAAATGTGGCAACAGATGCGGACATTAAATTCAATTGTTTTTCTTTTAAAGATATACATTCTTGGATGTAACTTCTATATTATGCATAGAAATATATTTATCCATAAACTATGTTTATAATGTCTGAGCTTATAATTATTGTCTACTCATTTTGAAATGTATAGTTTAGCTCCAGCCTTCAACAGAAAGCTTTAGGCCTCTATGTTCTTGTTCAAAATTTAAGGCAGTGATTTTATGAGATAATCCTTAGAGACTACATAGCAGGTTAAAGTTTCCAAACTTGCATGAAATACATCTTAGAGAAAGGTGAGATACTTACTCCTTTGAAGAGGAATTGACATTTGAAAAATTCTGTATACTTTCCAGGTTTTTAGATTCTATAGATTTTTAACATTCTAGCCCTTTAATGCTGATAACACTGATGATAAA